AGATTTCGTTACAACTAAAAAAGTGTAAATTATACTAGTTATTTGTTTGACGATATACTCACCACTCTATCAAGATCCTTGGATCCATAGCGCATCCACTGCATGACGTGCACACCACACTCAGTACTATTCCTTTGTCGTTGAACTGGTAGCTCATCAAAATTGAAATTTCCAAAATTTGGTACTACTACATTGCTCGTGCGCTCTGGTTTCAAAATATCATCCAAAGTGGACAACTACACACAAATAACGAATATTTTAAACTTCTAGCATACTACGTAACGCTTAGTAGTCAGAAAATTATAGGAAACACTTACCAATTTCTTGCATAGTTCTGATTTACGCCTACGATTCGCCTCACTAGTTGAAGATAGACTGTCAAGCAAAAATGCAGTTTTTTGCTGGACATTGACGAGATACAGAAACCAATGACGTGCTTCATCTTCAAGAACTGGCATAAATATCTAGCAACGAAACACTCACTATATGTTATAAACAGCGAATACAAACAAATGCACTTTCGAAATTTAATGATATAGGGACATTGACTAGACTAACCTTCTGGCATGCACTGACATTCGGCATAAAGTCCACGCCATCATTCATCAACTTGTTACGAATTTGTCTGGTCTTCATGTTAGCGCGTACCATTTTCTGCACCATGTTTTAGTTGAGATGAATTGACATGGTACAGTATAAATAACTAGGTTATGACAAATAATTTGACATTACGGCTCTTACCGAAAACATATTTGGAAAATACCACACATTTGGCTCTTTCACATCATGTTTTTCAGACATTGTTAGTGCCCTTGCACACAAATCCACTACCTACCATCCAACAATAAAACACAAAATCATCGTAAATCGTAACATAAATAGTGCACAATTCATACGAAAGTCGTAGTAGTATAGTACTTACTGATGAGCAAACCCAGCTTTTCTCGCTAATGACCGAACTCAAATAATGTCGTTGCAGGTTTTCAGAAAAAAAGTCCACAATCATCAAACTGCAAAAAACAAGATAACAGAAATGTCAATTGTTTTTTTGCAACGTACAGGTCGACCTGTACACAGTCAAGGTCGACCTTATTGGACACACGGTCGACCGTATTGGACAACCGGTCGACCACACGTACTAGAAAAACGTCTTACTTGTCCCAATTCTTGTCCCCAACCTTCTCTTTAGTAACAACATAATACAAGTCTTCAACTGGATTTTGAAGATTTTTGGTGAATCCTTCTAGACCCTCCACTTTCATGACCTACAAATCATAGTTAAAATTAAAGTAACATATGAACACAAACACACATTATAGATGAAAATGTAACGTAAACTTACCCCGTGCTTTTCGAAAGGACTCTTAGATTCATCTTCATCGCTATCATCACTAAATAATCCCTTTCTTACAAATTGATCCTTCTGTGGAGTGGTGTAGGAGTCACTTTCATATCGCGGTCTCTTGTAATTAGGAGAGGAACCCTTGCGGCCATTCTTTGTTTCACTCTGTCAAACATATAAACAAAACAGATTAGCACTAATGATAGTAATACTAATATCTTCAATCACATATGAATATACTTGGATACCTTTAAAATGTGCTCTTTCAATAAATCGTCTATGCTCTGGTAGCAATTTTCAGAGTCATCATGGTCTTCCTCCTCTTTACCAAAGTCAAATTTCTTTCCTTCACCATTTCTTCCGCCATTCTCCATTCGTTCTGCACTTATATCTTTGATAGCACCTTCTAGCCTCTCAAACCCGTCATGCATCATCCCAGTCATATCTGTCAGTCGAACTGACAAATGCTCGACTTGTGTTTGACACACCACCAGCTTCTCTTGTGTGGCTTTCAACAATTTCATGATTTCACCCAAATCTTGATGCAGTTTCTCATCATGCGTCATCGTCTAAACAATTTAAAGAAAAATTAAAATCATAATTCAAGTACAAATAGTGACTACCACAACTCGTCAGGTCGACCTCGGTTATTCCTAGGTCGACCTATCCAGCATGAAAATAACAATTACAAACATATAGTAAGTTCAAAATTAAACCGAAAAAATGACAGGTCGACCAGATATCTGGCGCGGTCGACCTTTTCAAGCACAACATAGTGATACAAACAAAGCCAAAGTCGACATTCAGGTTGAATAACCAAAAAAAACATATACGGTCGACCTTGAAACTCATTAGGTCGACCGATTGGGTTACCTCGCAAGTACAGAAGTCCCAGTGTTATGGCCTAAATTCAAATACGAAGAATTGTCTCGTCAGGTCGACCTGGTGGACGTCGCGGTCGACCGAATTGGATTCTGCACCCAACAATATATCAAGTTAGCCGGTGGAAATCACGCATTAAAAAAGAAGACGGTGAATGCTACTTTAGGTCGACCTCACCTTAGACCTGGTCGACCACTTCCAACACGTACAACAGCAACCGCGAACGATCTTCTTCACAAAGGCTCTAAGTCGGAAAAAAACCTAATTCAGACTTGGTGGCGTTTAAGGGGACTCATATTCGTATTTATAGAGATTTGGACGTGAATGGGTCGACCTAATTCGTTTCCTTGTCCAATTGTGGAACCTTTCTGGTGTTGGAATCCATATCCAATACGGATACGGTCTGAAGGCGGTCGACCTCTTCCCAATGCGGTCGACCTGTTAGGTGCACAAGGGTCGGCCTATGAGATATTTGGGTCGACCTGTTGCTCTTTTAGACCACCAAAACGGTCGACCGCATTTTGTTAGAGGTCGACCGCCTTCAGGAACCCAACATACGTGAATTAGCCCATTCGGTCGACCGCAAGGTGTATTCGGTCGACCGAAAAGTGCATGTCACGGTGACATGCATGTCACCGTAGCAAAATCCTAGCTTTTTTCTCTTTCAATCGGCTTTGCAATTTTTTTTCTCTACTCTAGATCGGTGACTCATGTCTTTTATTTTCCCCGTGCATCGGTGCATCCAAATCCGAATTCGGACTCGTACCGGGGACTCATGCATCGTTCCTGCAGGGAATCGAACCGACTCCTAGCTGCGTCGGCCGTCGATTGCGAGGAGGAAGCGAAAGTTTCTTCTCCGAACAGTACCGTTTATAGTATCATCGGGAAGAGGAACGAGAGGATCAACCAGCTACTACTGGATCTGCCATAGAGAATGTCGACACTGCCGGCTCTCGCGGAGGGATCAGCGACGAGGAAGATGGCGACAGTTCTCGGAAGAAGCTCCGGTTGTCCAAAGATCAGTCCGCCGTTCCTGAAGAGACCTTCAAGGAACACAACACAACACTCTCAATCTTGAATAAGTTATTATTGAGATATCAATTTATTAGTCAAATTAGTTGCAGATTAAATGGCCGTCCCCAGATTTGATTATCATTATTTTACAATATGATTCGGCCAGAAAGAAAATACAGGTAAGGAAAGGAGGGGGCACGTACGGTGACGACGATGGCTTTGTCCTCGTCGTAGAGAAGCTGGTCGCCGGAAGCAGGGTCGCTGATGGCCAGTCGTGATGGGCCAGGAAACAGGCCGCCGCCCTGAGACGCACCCACAACGACCTTTCCCTGCTTTCATGGGAGGTGAAGCGATGCGTGTCTCCCGGCTTTTAATTAATTATTATTTTTTATTTTTTAATTGACATGTCATAAAGTTAACTGTCCTGTTAGCACTTCTGTTTGCCACATCATCAAAAAACTGACGGAGTTAACGGAGTCTGACGGAGACTAACGGCCGGTGACTAATATGAAACAATTTGTAAAATTAGTGTTGAATAAGAAAGAAAAGTAATTTGGGTGGCAAACGTGAAAGATTTATTTAATTTGAGTGACCAAACATGTAATTTAGCCATTAAAAAAGGGGATTGCTATTCGTCGCCCTAAAAATCCTTATTTGTCGCCCTAATTAAATTAATTTTACTATAATGCCCTTAAGTTAATTTAAAACATACCTCAAAACAAATTATAACCGAAAAAGGAAAAAAAAAAATCTGTCTCGGCCAGCCTGCGGAACATTCGGCCGGCAGACTCCTTTTCAACTGGGACACGGAAACATTGCTGCATTATATCACAATTATAAATAAAGGTGCTTTTCATGGACATAACTAGGGAATTATTGGGACATATCTCCAGCCGCCGCCAGAGAAGTTGGAGAAGAAGAGAGTTGAGGTTAGTAAATATCTGTCTATGCGTTGTAAAAAAAAAAAAAATCTGTCTATGCTTTAGTTTTGGAACTTGTATCTAGTATCTGTCTATGCTTTAGTTTTGGTTCTAATTCTTGTTGAGTTAATGCTGCTTTTTTCCTTTGTCGTTTTTATGCGCTCGAGACTATGTATAAAGGGAGGAAGAAGAAGAAGATTGAGTACTATGCAATTAAGAGTCTAGATAAATCGCAGAAGTAGTAATATCTGTCTATGCTTTAGTTTTGGAACTTGTATCTAGTATCTACCTCTGATTCTAGCTAGCTAGTTATTTCTGCTGTGCATCTTGCGCTTAGAGCCTTCGTCTAATAAACTCCCACATGTTATCTAATTTGAACAAGTTTACCTACATTTGAGTATATGTCGGCATTCAGAATGCTATAGAATTTTGTCTCGCCTGCTGCACTCACTGTAATCGTAGCAAAGACTACGCTTATTGATGTATTGCCATTAGCATTACTTACTTTTATTACTCAGTTGATAATCTGCATATAGATTTTATAGTGTCACATCCGGACATAATTTATATAATTTTTGGATTAAATTATCTCTAATTTGTACTAATATTATTCTTTATTAGGGAGACAACTTTGTTGAAGTTTGCTACACAATTGACAACACCCTTGCTATAATAAGGAGTTTGGTATGAGTAATACGGTAAGTACTTATTTAAATAAAGTTTATAATAAATAAATAAATTTTATTTACTAATGGTGGATTGGTTTGAACATTTTTGTATGTTTTTTGTAGGGTGGTTCTCGAGATGACGAAGGTGACAAAGTTGATTACACCCAATTCTTCATGAGTGCAGGTTTTTATGATACTAAGGACAAAGCTCGGGAAGCAGCAAAGGAGATAGCAAAATCCCTCGGCTTTTTCTTGATAGTGTCCACAATCAAACGAAATCCGGGAGAAACGAATCCGCGGATATATATGGATTGCAACCATGGTTGCAGGAGCATAACATATATCCCAGATCCTGATAAGCCAAGGCGGAATAATACGAAGACGGGCAAGTTGGGTTGCAGATTCAGAGTGGTAGTACGGGCAATATTGGTGGATGGTTCTTTGAAATGGAGAATTGATGGTGTGAGGGGGTTTCATAATCATAAACTTGAGCTTTATTCTGAAGGGAGCAGCCAAAGAAATACTCTCACAAAGGAGAAGAAGGAAGACATCAAGAAAATGGAGGCAACGATGACTCAGCCGAAACAAATGAAGAAGTCTCTGAATGACACGTATGATGCTCACCACAACATGAAACAAATTTACAATGAAACTGGCAAGATTCGGCAACAGAGATTGGGTGGTATGAAACCCATGCAGTGGACATTGAGGGAAGCTCAAAAGCTCGGGTATTTCGTTGAGTGTGAATTTGATATTGATCGTCATGTTACTAATCTCTTCCTTTGCCACCCGGAGTCTCTTCAGATGTTGAGTGCTTGGTATTTCGTTGTTCTAATAGACTCGACATACAAAACCAACAAGCATAAGAAGCCATTGGTTCAGTTGGTTGGTGTTACTCCGGTGCAGAAGAACTTTAACATTGGGTTTGCATTTGTGGCAGATGAAAAAAAGGAGACATACACTTGGGTTTTGTCGCAACTAAAGAGTGTGCTTGGTGGTAGGATCCCAAATGCTATTGTCACAGATAAGGAGGGAGGATTGGGTGTTGCAGTGCGCGAGATCTTTCCAGAATCTACTCACTTATTATGTGTATGGCATATGAAGAAGAACATTGAAGCCAAACTCATGAGCTTTCGAATGAGTAGAGAAGTCGCAGAGGGTTTTGTTGAAGGTCCTTGGGGAACATTGTTGTATGCCAATACCCAAGAAGGATTTGATAGTGCTTGGGTGGACTTACAAAATAGTCGTTGGGGGGACAATGGACGATTGATGAACTACTTGAGAGGCGAGTGGCTATCTTGTGCGAGTAAATGGGCTAATTGCTACACCAACCGTGTGTTTCATATTGGCAACACGAGCACAAATAGGGTGGAATCAGCTCACTCCTCTTTGAAGTCATGGCTTAACACTTCTAGGCACAAGATTGATTCACTCTTCATGAGATTCCATGCTTGTGTGGAAGGTAGAGTGATTGAATTGCGAAAGGACCTAGAGGAATCACGATTGAAGGTAAATTCATTTTGATTGAATTGTGATAATAATTTTCATATGCTTTCTCTTATTTAGGTTATGTATTCATTTAAATAGGTATTTACATGGGCATATGGACCGCCTTTTGTGCACTTGAACAACAAGGTTAGTTCATGGGCGATTGAGCTATTGAGGGGAGAAGGAAGTAGGAAGAATGTTGAGAGGTGCGGTTGCGTGCTACCAGAGACATATGGACTTCCATGTCTATGCACAATGCAAAGGTTCAGTGAGAAAGGTTTAGAGTTGTATCCACACCACTTACATCATTTCTGGTCTTCTTTAAATTACCATGATCCACCTGATCGTGCACAGTGGGAGGACCATGATGCTATTGAGAGCGATATTTTCGACAAAATGGTGGAGGAGGTACGTTGTAGAGGACCAAATTATATTCGAGTAGCTATTCCATCACTTCGAGCTCATGTTCTCCCCGAGGACATGGGTCTTCTTGAGCCTAGGGATGCAGAGATTCCGAGAGGTCGACCACCTAGGAGGGAGAACGCCCGAAAACGTTCTTGGTTTGAGCACGAGAGATCACGAGAGGCACGCAGAAGTAATACCAGCAGGACAAGCCCTCCGACGAGGGATCTCACTCCCCCGATGAGGGATCCTACTCCCCCGATGTCAGATCCCACTCCCCCTATGAGGTCAACACATACAGGTTAGTCATAAATACGATTTTGATTGTACTATTTTTTGTGTGTGCTGATATCTTAGTTTTTTTTATAAGAGTTTCCATATTGTTTCACTTGCTTGATTTCATTAGGTCGTGCACGAAAGAGTCAATTGTGGGAATTCCATAGTGAAAGGAATATGTGTCCATACCTCCCGTACATCCCATCTAGCATACACCATCTTGTTAGAGCTTGGTTTAACCCCGATGGGGATGGTCATTGTGGGTTTCGAGCAATCTCACACATTATTCATGGGGACGAGGGTTACTACTTAGAGATGAGGCAAGCTGTTATTGGAGAGATTACTAGTCGATGGGATTCTATATATAGTAGACATTACGATGGGACACTAGAGCAAGTAATTCATAGGTTGGATCAAAGGAATTCGGGATGGTGTGGCAACGAGTATTGGTTTGAGGAGGTGGATCTACTAGCATTCGCGACAATGCACAATTGTGTCTTTTCAGTCTTCGGGCGGGCAAATGATGGGACATATGGGTATAGTGCATTACCCGTGACAGCGCCACCAGGGATAACGTCTCCAGTTCATGTTTATGCCCTCGTTCATACTGGAGTACATTGGGTTCGACTTCAACTTGCAGACGTCAGAGGTGTTACACCGATGCCTCCATTTAGTTTTCAGTGGTCTCATCTTCGCGATATGGCAACTGTTGGTACTTGGTCATTGTTGTACCAAGAGGAAAGAAGGTTGTTTTTCGCTCTTGGTGGACATCATCAAAGTAGACAAGACAAGGGTGAGCCGAAGCATGTAGTACTTGAGTAGCTACATTATTTTAGCTTTTCGGTACTTATCTATGTAGTAGAGATTATTTAGCTACATTGGTCATCTTTTCGGTTCTTTAGCTACATTATTTCATCTTCTTAATACTTATCTATGTCGGAGATATTGTTCATGACATATTAGCAAATTGAATTACTGAGTTTAATCACGATATCAAATAATACAACCTTATCAATATGAAGAATTCCTGATCACCGTAATTTGGCGAAAATGGTCGGCCGCTTAAAAAATTAATCAAATGATCCATTATACTATTGCAACAGAGTCCACAATTACAATGAACATAAGAACACACTTCACATACATTCATGAAAAAGATATCACGGCTACTCTGCTTCCTTCTCTTTTAATTTTCTTAAGAAGAAGCGTTTGTTTTTGGGAGAGAGACTCAGACAACCACCACTTCGTGCCCCCCTGTTTCTTCCAACCTCGCCGCCGGGAAAGGAAACGGGCCAGAGCAACAATTTCCTCCCCTCTTCAATTTCATGTCGATGGAGGGGAATGCCCAGCAAAATTAATTTTCTCCCCTCTTCAATTTCCTGCCGAGGGAGGGGATTGCCCAGCAGCTTCAATTTGGGACAGGGAATGGGATTAATCAAATATGGGTTTGTGGGTTCTTAATCGAACAAGCGACGACTTGGATAGAGGAATTTCTTGCAGGGAGGCGGGAGATCGGAAGCTGTCTCCACTTCATCCACGTCTTCAGGTCGTCGATCTTCGCCGGCGTCAGCATCTTCCCCTCCGTACTAGCGCCAACGTGAATAGCCGCCAAGGACTGGTTCAGGTTACTGACCCCCTCCCCCAACTGATCCATGCAGTCATCCAACGCGACCCTCGATCTCCACTCGCCGCTCGACGAATTCCCGAACAGGGAAGCTAGGTTAGCGAACCTCTTCAGGGAGACTTGGATTGAGACCTTGAGGATCTCCTCTGGGTCGGTTACCAGTTACGAATGAGGCGCTGGGGACACGGAAGCATTGGATCACAATTATAATAAAGGTGGGAATTATTGGGACATAACTGCAGCGGCCAGAGGAGTTGGAGAAGAAGAGAGTTTTGGCCGTAGCGTATAAAATTACAACTCTTCTGTCTTGGCAACTGCGTAAAGTTGAGGAAGAATTGAAAGAAGTTTTTTCTCGCAATTGTTTAGTTTAGGAATAATAAAATTTGACTTTTTGTCGAGGGGTAAATATGTCTAGTTAGTGCGTTTTAGGGCGATAAAATTTGAATTTTAGGGCGACGAATAGCAATTCAGTTAAAAAACAAATTTTGTTAAAGAACGCAAAATTCATGGATGACAAGATACATTGAACCTGGACAATATTTCGTTACCTCCCCTTCAGTTCCCTTCCCTATAACTAGCTCTGCTCCGCCCAAACGGTAATTCATTCATTCCTTCCAAAACCACAACCATAGCCATTCATCCTCTCCCCATCAAGTCATCTTCCTCCATAGCTGTCTTGCCGCTTGAACGGCTTTGCTATTGCTTAACAAAGTTTGTTGTTTTCCCTCTCATCTCATTTCATCAAGTCATCATCAAACCGTGTGTAACCAAGAATGGCGGGTGAGCCGATTCAGAGGAGAAACGAGGAGCTGGAGAAGGCGCTGAAAGAGAGCAGAGAGAGGGAGGAATTGATGAGGAAGGAGCTCGAACAAGCGTGGCGGCGGATGAGAGTCGCGGAGGAGGCAGAGGAAAGGCTCTGCTCTCAGCTGGGTGAGTTGGAGGCGGAGGCCGTCAATCAGGCCCGCGCTTACCACGCTCGCATTCTCTCTCTCATGGATCAGGTCCTTCACCTTCAGCAGCAAGCAGCTACCTAAGCAAAAATCATCCAATTTTGTCGACTCCTTACAATTGTATACCTTTGTAACATAATGAAGAAAAATTGTTTTCCCAGTTAAGATCCCCTGTTCCTGTTGTTTTGTGTCCATCCATTGACTTTCTGCTTGTTTGTGTTTATTTGTTCAAAGTACTCTGATTCTGATGTGATAATTGTAGATGGGGAGTTTATGATCATATGATGGTAGGGTTCATAATCATGACATAGGTGAAATTAGCTCGATACCCACAAATCCATGAATCCATTCCATTTGCCACACTAAATGTACCGCAGATGATATCCAAATGCAAGCAAGATCTATACGACTATACCCATATCACAAACAAATTGAGCGGATAAAAAAAGCACTTCCAAAAGAGACAGTTACCAGTCATGATCAAATTGTCGACTTAATTAACCAAAAGTATCTTGTTAATTCATACCAACACTTCGTCTTTAGGGAAGGGTGCACTACATTTACCATGACAGCAAAAGGACACCACAGTACCACACTGTTGGAAGCTATTCAACTAATTTAGAAGGACCAACTAACCATGACACTTAACTCTAGACCACGGCTGAAAGCTACTCAGCTAGTTTAGATGAACTAATAGGCAGCACTTGGTCTCGAAAATACGAAAAGGATTCGGGACATATACACCAAGCTCTTTCGAATTTCGATCGTATGCTCTCAGTTGCAAATTCAGGAATCACGCCTGATGTGAGATCTAGCCTTGGCCCGTGGCCGCTGCATTAATACCAGAAAAACAACTTATCAGACGTCCAAGGGTTAGAGCATTGCTAATTCTAATGCTCTGAAACATATGCACCCGTGATGAGACTTGTATAAATGAAATATACTGGCAAAACAGAGAAATTAGGTTTTGATGCAATAACAGACGGCTTCTTTTGTTCAAGTTCATTGTGCCATTCATGGTGTTGTCATCCCAGAAATCTAAATACGATGTAAAATGAATCAACATACCTTGTCAATCGTTACATACTTGTCGTCCACATTAGGGGAGCCTTCAAGAAAGAAACGCATCACTTGGTAAGGTACACGGCTGAAAGATCCATTAGAATACAGCAAACTCAGGGACTTCAATCTCCTAAAGGGTGAAGGTTGATGTTTCACCGAGTCACAAGCCTGAATCAACAACTGAAGAGCAGAACCAATCAAGAATTACATGAACAAAAGGTAAATTTCTTGCAGTATGCATGTTCTCTGTAGTCGCTACATTTAAGGTACTGTCTTGCACAATGCACTTACATATCATATAATTGCAGTAATATTTGGTAGGATTATGCTCATCATATACTAGCATTATCAGGCTACATACCTCAATGGTATCCATGTGCAAGCTGAGTGATTCTACATCACGCAAACCATGGAACAAGTCGACACACTGTTTGAGCAGTACTTGCTTCTGCTCAGCGTTAAAACACGAAATTACACCCTTCCTTCTGCACAGGTTCAGCTTTGCATGACTGAGAGAAGGAAGGTTCCACTTGGACCCATCTGTTGGTAGCAGATGAGGAAGAACATCAGTCCAATAAGTGAAGGATTTGAGCTTAGGAGCACGTACTTCGATCGAGCCAAATTGTGACCTATGTATCTCCAAATACAGCAGTTGAGGTCCAGATACTACAAAACCACGATACGAGTCATAATCATCTAGCACTAGCAGGCCACTGACTGAGGAGCAGTGTGTTAGAAACAAAGAAGTTCCACAAGGGAATTAGGGATTGAGAAGAGAAGAAATTAGGGATTTGAGAAGAATTGGGGAAGAACAAGAGAGAGAGAGAATTGGGAATTAGGGATTTTGATTGATAATTTTGATAATTGACTAACTCTGCAGAATAGTGTTCTCTCCTCTTAAATACAAAAGCTGAATAATGAAAATAACGAAACTGCCACTCCCTCACCCAACCGGCCCAACCCGCCGGTTTCTAACATCCTCCCCCTCTTCAAGTCTGACCTTGTCCTCAAGGTCAAAGTACGGAAACTTCTGCTGCAATTCGCCCGACTCCTCCCAAGTCGCGTCCTCCGGCTCCAAATGCCTCCAAAGTACTAAGCTTTCCTCCACCAGTCGACCCTTCTTCTTCACCCACCTGGTCTCGAGCACCTTCAGCGGCTCCAGCTCAAGATCACCATCTGCACTGACCGGCGGAGCTGTCGTCTCAACTCTGTCTGCCGCTCCCCTGTAACGCTTCAACCATGAAACATGGAAGGTAGGATGAATGCGAGACTCTGCCGGCAGCTGCAAACGATAGGCCACTGGGTTGACCTTCTGCAGAATCTCGTAGGGCCCGAAATAACGAGCCGCCAGCTTCTGATAGGCGCGCCTGAAGACCGAGGCCTGTCGATAGGGATGCAGTCTCAACAGCACCCAATCGCCCACCTCAAACTCCTCCTCCCGCCTACCCGCATCCTCTAACTGCTTCATCCTGTTATTGGCTGCCGCCAACGTACTCCGCAGCTGCTCAAGCGCCTCATCCCTCGCCCCCAGCCACCTGTCCACAGCATCCACCGAACTATCACCCACCCTGTATCGCACCAGAGACGGCGGAGCTCGCCCGTATAGAGCCTCGAAGGGAGTCATCCGAATAGCCCTGTGATAGGTGGTGTTATACCACAACTCAGCCCATGGAATCATGGCCAACCAGCTCTTGGGCTGCTGGTGGGCAAAACACCTGAGATACTGCTCCAGATGTTTGTTCACGATCTCCGTCTGGCCATCCGTCTGCGGGTGATAGGCCGAACTCATCTTCAGCGCGGTCTTGGCCATAGCAAAGACCTCCTGCCAGAAGTGACTCAAGAAGACTGAATCCCGATCACTCACAATAGATCGAGGAAATCCGTGATGCCGCACTACTCCTGATACAAACTGCTCAGCCACCGCCTTTGCCGTGTACGGGTGAGCCAAAGGCATGAAGTGAGCATACTTCGTCAGGCGATCCACCACCACGAACAACACCGTCTTGCCACCTGAGGGAGGAAGTCCCACTATAAAATCCATGCTGATGTCTTCCCAAACCCGCTCCGGCACCGGTAATGGCTGCAACAACCCTGCAGGTCTGAGATGAGATAACTTCACCCTCTGACAGGTGTCACAGGACGCTACATAGCTCTTCACGTCGTCCGCCATGCGAGGCCAGTAGAAATGAGCCCGAATCCGCCGTAGGGTCCGCTCCACGCCCGAATGACCCCCCAGCGGCGAGTCATGAAACTCCATCAGCACAGTCGTGACCAGGTTTGACCCCGGCGGAAGGACCACCCGGCCCTTGAAAAGGACCAGCCCCTGTCTGAACTGGTAGCGACCCGGCTCGTCGCTCACAGCAATGTCCCGGCAGCTCTGCAGATAAGAACTGGTCTCCAAAGATGTACGGAGCTCATCCCAAAACTCCGGCACCGGCCCGGTCACTGCCATGAGAACCTCCCCACCCGGACGCCTGGATAGGCCGTCGGCCACCACATTGGTGGGTCCTGGTCTGTAATGAATCTCGTAGTCATACCCCAGTAGCTTCGCAATCCACTTATGCTGGTCCGGCGTCGACACCCTCTGCTCTAGGAGATGCTTCAGACTCTGATGATCTGTATAGATGTGAAACTTCTGGCCCAGCAAATATGGTCTCCACATCTGTACTGCTGTGATAATAGCCTGCATCTCCTTCTGATATGTCGACCAGGCCTCCTTCGAAGGAGGTAGTGTCTTGCTCATGAAAGCAATAGGATGTCGATCCTGAGACAGCACTGCCCCAATACCGCGGCCAGACGCGTCGGCCTCAATCACGAACGTCTTCGAGAAATCCGGCATGGCCAAGGTGGGGGTTGTGGACATCGCCTGCTTCAGCTTCTGGAACGCCTCCTCTGCCTGTGGTGACCAACCAAACCCCCCCTTCTTCAGCAAGTCCGTCAGAGGCCTCGCGATCATACTGTATCCCTGCACGAACTTCCGGTAATACCCGGTCAATCCCAGGAAGCCACGCAACTCGGTCACATTGGTGGGCACGGGCCAGTCCACCATGGCTCGAATCTTGGCCTGGTCCACCTGCACTCCCTGAGGCGTCACTACATGACCCAGGTAATCCACCTTCTGCACCCCAAACTCACACTTGGAGGCCTTGACATAGTACTGGTGCCTCCGAAGAATCTCAAACACCTCCTGCAGATGTCTCAAATGGTCCTCCCAAGTAGGACTATAAACCAGTATATCATCAAAAAATACCAAGACATACCGTCTCAGGAGAGGCCGAAAAATGTCGTTCATGGCAGCCTGGAATGTCGAAGGAGCATTGCACAGCCCAAATGGCATGACCAAATACTCATAATGGCCATTATGAGTGCGAAATGCGGTTTTGGGCACATCCTCCTCCTGCATCCTGATCTGATGGTAACCGGCTCTCAAGTCGAGCTTAGTGAAATAGCTCGACCCATGCAGTTCATCTAGCATGTCATCCACTGTCGGGATCGGGAACCGATCCTTCACGGTCGCCTTGTTGAGAGCCCGGTAGTCTGTGCAGAATCTCCAAGTCCCATCCTTCTTCTTAACCAGCAACACCGGCGAAGAAAAAGGACTGGTGCTAGGCCGGATCAGTCCGGTCGCGAGCATCTCCTCTACCTGCTTCTCGATCTCCCCCTTCTGTGAGTGCCCATAGCGGTATGGCCTCACATTCACTACTTCCACTCCCTCCTTCAGACAAATCTGGTGGTCCACCTGCCTATGAGGCGGCAGAGTGGTCGGCGCCCGGAACAGTTCCGGATACCGGTCCAACAGCTCCTGCATCTCTCCATCAACCTCCGCCTTCCCGGCTGCAGCTAGAGGCCAGCATAGGACAGCGAGCTCGGTGTCCTCCCCCTTCGCGCACTCCTCCATCTCAATCGGCCCAATGGCGGTGGTCAAGCCTCTCAGACTCCATTCCTTATCCCTCCACTTGAAGCACATCGTTAGCCTTCGCCAATCACTGGTAATCGGTCCTAGGCTCTGCAGCCAAGGTATGCCGAGGATAATGTCGAACCCGCGCAAAGGCAGTACATAGAGGTCGGTGACGATCTCGAGGCCTTGAATCTCCAATGCCAAATCCCTGTACACCTCGACGCACCGCATCGGCGCCCCATTAGCCACTCGGACCACCACCGATTGCGTTGGACTCGCCGCCACCCGAAGGGTTTTGGCGAATTCCTCCCCAATGAAATTCAGCGACGCTCCACTGTCGACAAGAACGAGGCCCTGCTGCCCGGCGACCTTGGCTCGGAACCGCAGGGTACCGGGCGACGAGACCCCCGCTACGGAGTGCAGGGAGATCTCCGCCGTCCCCCTCTCTTCCTCGCGCCTCCTTCCCGCGTCGCCACTGTCCCCTCCTCCGCGCGCCGCCGCGCGCTCCTCGGCCGCGGGCCTGTCCTCCGCGCCGCCGCCTTCCGCCCCGATCGCCCTGCAGCGCGAGTCGCGCCCCGCGCCGACGCCGCGGTCAGCGCCATCGCGCGCCTCCAGCCGCTCGCCCTCCATCTCCGCCACGGCGCCTCGCGCCGGCTCCCTCTTCCAGGAGTTTGCGATTTGCCATAACTCCTCTCGCAACTGAGCCCATGACTGCTATGATTTTTCCATGTCGATGCCCTGGTTTTTCAGCTGTCCCTGATGGAGTTGAGAAAAACTCACCGATCGTAATCGGGCTCTGATACCAGATGTTAGAAACAAAGAAGTTCCACAAGGGAATTAGGGATTGAGAAGAGAAGAAATTAGGGATTTGAGAAGAATTGGGAAAGAACAAGAGAGAGAGAGAATTGGGAATTAGGGATTTTGATTGATAATTTTGATAATTGACTAACTCTGCAGAATAGTGTTCTCTCCTCTTAAATACAAAAGCTGAATAATGAAAATAACGAAACTGCCACTCCCTCACCCAACCGGCCCAACCCGCCGGTTTCTAACACAGTGGAGTAGTTGCAGTTCTTTCAATCTGGGGAAATTAGCAAAGGGATCCTCCTGTGGTTCATTCGTACCACTGAACGCAAAGTTTGAGGATCGCAAAGTCAGACTTTCAAGCAGTTCCAGACCTGACAACTTTTCAAATGAACCCCTGTTCAACTCTGCCCCCTGCACTTCCAAGACTTTCAGAGTTCGAAAACAACCACAGATCGAGGCAATAAAATTCCCGAACCAAAAGTACCACCCCTTTTCAACCATACGGAGTAGGAATAACTGCTGAACACCATGAGAGGAAGCATATTCCATGATCCTACCAAACATATCCAAATTGTTTCCAATCTGAACGTCGGTGCCAATCTTGAGAACATCACAGTCCGAGCGGGAGGATAGAACTTGGTCTACATGCTGCATGAATCCCAGGTCAGTCCCAAACGAGCGTCTGCGGAAATTGAGAACACGAACTTGCTTCCACACAAACTTCCACCTGCTTGACAGCACGCTGGTCTGGACAATAGACTTGGTGTCCAGGGATGAGAGAATGTGATGAAGAATACCGTCTGGGAGATCGCTCAATCTGTCAATTCCTTCCATTGTGTCGCCACGAGTTAGTTCCTCGGCTCCCTGATAAAGCCTAAGAAATTAGAACCCTAGAAATTTTATCTGCAGCCCCAAGTATTCCCAGACCGTCGAAATATAGACTACCGTATCTCAACTGAGAAATTTCGTTCTTGCTACAAACATGAAGAAAGTCGGGTTTATTACCTTCCAGAGAGATGATGGAGGTTACTCGAAGAGTCGAGTTCGGTCAAAGAGGAACGAGTAGGCAGAGTGGAAGCCGAGTAGCACCGGGAGTTGTGGAGTGTACACCGAAAGTAAGGCGATTCACTGCGAATTTGATCGCCGTCGAACAGGCCGGTTAGTGGCTGGGCACTGCTTTGCCGGACGCGGTATCGGACTATCGGAGTGGGAGTTACTTAGCAGTTACCACTTGCGAGTATGAGTGTAGGATAGTGAAAAGGCGAAGGAGACGAGGAGTCACAATAATGGCATTTTGAATGGGCCTCCGCCCAAGGAATTCAAGACGGGCCTATTACTTTTTCCTTCTGGCAGAAGACGGCCCTGTTCCTTTTCTGGAACCTTTACCCGCTTTCCCTAGTGTCATTTTGGACGGAGTATTTGGATGAGTTTTTTGGGTTTAATGGACACAAATAATTAGTTTGACAGTTTTTTACTAAAATGAATTATTTGGAGAGTGTGTAGAGTTGGTAATTCTCAATCCAATCCATCAATCCATTAAAAATATCCACATAATCAAATCCATTTGATCCAAATCCAATTAGATGGAAGAATTTATGGATTGATCCATGAATCCAAATGGCAAATTACGATTTGGTACATATACTTTTTATATTTTATATTTTGGTACCCAAAATTTAATTTTTATACAAAAAATATCATTGGAAAATTACATTTTGATATCTAAAATTTTTCATTATGACATTTTAGTACCTAAACTTTTCACATTTTACATTTTGGTCTTTGGTTGAGGATGTCGTTTGGATTCATGAATAATCCACCAATCCACTAATCCGTTGGATACAATCCATTTGATCCATGGATCCACCAATCCATGGATCAATCCATTTGCCAGCTCTAACAGTGAGTTATTTACAAATAACTCATACCCATGTGTTATTTCAAAATAACTCGTTTTATCACTCTACTTTTACCAAATACCACATGGCAGATACCACATTTGCATGATTCAACTAAACGAGATATTTTATTTCAATTACCACTGAAATACAACATGAACAATAAATGAGTTATTTGACTCTACAAATACCACATTGAAAATCAACTCATCCAAACAACTATTGTTTTTAAGAAATTTGGGGAAATGTTTTTCTTAATTTTAGCTAAAAATATATGATTTTGTGAGGGAGTCGGGATGACAATTACTTGTCTATGTATAAATTTTTTGATGGGCAATCAATTTTTTTTATTAAGCTCATGGTAGATAGATTAACAAACACCCTCTACAAGTTTACTAAGCAGGCATATCCTTTGACTAAAATTACAAGAAACAAAACTTAGCTTGCAAGCTAGTTTTACTAAGATGCTACTAATAAACTCATAGAACAGATCCTATGATTAAGAGGGTGCTTAGTTATTTGACTAAGTCCCTCCTTACAGTTAAATTTGGACGCATCAATCTGATGGTTAAAAAATGGAAAGGAACTTTTAATTAGCGACATGGATAATTTGAGTATTATGAAAAGTTACAAAGTACACAAAATAAACTTACAAACCATACAAACATACGAAATACATAAACATACAAACTAGATAAAGACACAAACAATACAAACCATACAAAATGAAAAACAACCATATTGATTTTGAAGACTTCATCCCTATAGAGAGGGGTTCCCTCTCAATTAGATGCTCACTACTACCATCCCTATAGAGAGGGGTTCCCTCTCAATTAGATGCTCACTACTACCCAACGCAAAACGCGGACCAATTATCTAGTTTACTTATTTAATAGACATGTAAGATTTGGACCCCAATTATGTAGAGACAAATTGATCCTCATCTCCCTCCGTCGATTTTTCTTTCTCCAAACCTACTAAAAAAACAAAACTCAGAAGACACGAGTCCATGACAACAAAAAACCTACTCACCTAATTGGATGAGCTAATAAAAAAAAGACATAGTTCAGCAGTAGTAGACAACACAAACTTTAGGAAGCCGAAAAACAAAAATGTTTAGGCAGAAGCAATATGAAAAGGATTCTGGACATTTGTATGAACCTCTTCTGAATTCCGATTCAATGCTCTCGTTGTAGATTCAGGAAATCTCGAGTGATTCAAGTTCAAGCACTGGGACTGATGAACCGGCCACTAACTCATGTTTTGTAGCCCGTGGCCTCTGCATCAACACAGCTTATCAGCCAATGCAACTTCACAGGTTGATACCATTAATAACATGGCAAAACAGAGAACTTGAGTTTGAAGTTAAACAAGTCGGCGCCTTCTTCTGCTGAATTTCATTGTGTGATTTATGGTGCCATCATCCCACAACTAGCTACATGAGTGATGAGTCCAACTCATTTCAAAAGCAAAGATGGGGAAGTGTTTAGCTAACATACCTTCTCAATCATGACATACTTATCATCCAAGTTAGGAGAGCCGTCAAGAAAGAAACGCATCACTTGGTAAGGTACACAGAACGATCCTTTAGCATACATCAATCTCAACGACTTCAATCTCTTAAAGGGCGAAGGTTAATGCTTCGCCAAGTCACAAGCCTGAATAAAAAACTGTGTGGAACCAAGCCTTGTTAACATTTACAGGCAACATAACTATGGTGGTAAAAAAAAAAAAAAGACTTTCAGTCTTCTATTGAAAATATCTATCTACACTATCGATGGCTGAAATAAGGTACTGTCGACAATGCATGCATTTCTCTATGAAATGACAGTAATTTGAGGTAGGATTATGCTAATCACATACTATTAGCATTAACAGGGAACATACCTCAAGGGTATCCAAATGCAAGCTAAGAGATTCTACATTATGCAAACTATCGAACAAGCCGACAAACTGTTTTAGTAGCAGTTGTATCTGCTCCTCATTGAAAACCCCGTATTTCAACCCATACAAAACCGCATCGTTGGTTCTCCACAGGTTGATAGTTGCATGATTGAGAGAAGGAAGGTTCCAGTTGGACCCATCTGTCGGTAGCAAATGAGGAAGAACATCAGACCAATAAGTAAAGGATTTGAGCTTAGGAGCAATTATTTCGACATAGTCAAATGCTGACTGATGTATCTCCAAGAACAGCAGTCGAGGTCCAGATATCATTAAACCTTTCGGATCGTCGTTGGCTGAAATGTGGCCTGAACCGCAGTGGAGTACTTGCAAGTTTTCCAATTTGGGGAAACTAGAAAAAGGATCATGCGGTTCATCCATACCACCAAACTCAAAGTTGGAGGAATGCAACGTCAGAGTCTCGAGGAGTATCAGACGAGACAACATTTCAAATGCAGTCTTGTCCAAACATGCTAGCTGCAATTCCAATATTTTCAGAGATTGATAACAACCGCTGATCAAGGCGACAGCATCGGAGAACACGCTGTACCACTCGTTTTCCATGATACGAAGCAAGGATAACTCCTGAATACAATGAGAGGCAGCATATTTCATGATCCTACCGAACACACCCATATTCGTTATGATCCGAAAGTCGGTGCTAATCTTGAAAACATCACAGTTGGAGCGGGAGGATAGAACTTGGTTCACATGCCGCACGAATCCCAGGTCGGTACTAAACGAGCTTCTACGGAAATTAAGCACGCAAACTTGCTTCCAAACCAATCTCCACCTGCTTGACAACACACTGGTCTGGACAACAGATTTGGTGTCCAGCGACGAGAGAATGTGATGAAGAATACCGTCCGGAAGAACGCTCAATCTGTCAACTCCTTCCATGGTTCCACCACTAGTTAGTTCCTCAGTTCCCTGCTTCTGGGATGGCAAAGCCAGAGTCATAATATGTCCTGATTCCAGAAAAATCAAAACCCTAAAGATTTATCTGCAGCCCGATCCTCCCCAAACCATCAGAACGCGGGCTTCAGAGTTCAAATCCCAACTTCGAAATCACAATCTTGCAACGAACGTGAAAAGGGTTCGGTTATTACCTTTCGGGGAGGAGACGAGTTGGCAGATTGGACGGCGCGTCGCAGGGAGCTTGGTGGAGAGTGCACGGAAGAGTGAGTCGATTCAGAGCAAGCTTGATCACCTTCGAAATAGTCGGTAAGCTGCTGAGCACCGCTTAGTCGGGCGGAGTATCGGAGTGCGACTGGAAATCAACTAATCAACTATGTCAGCGCGACCTCAGTATCCTGTTTGGGCACTTTGCCGCCAACAGGTACAGGCTGGGAACTGAGCAACGACCTAATCAGTGGACCTCAGCGGAAGCGAATTCAAAGATGGCCTTCTTCTCTTCCTTACCTGGAAGCTAAATATCATTCCGCGTACTCGTCAAAGTACAATATAAACCTAAAAACTCTTGCGAACATTACATTAGCAACCCAATAAAGGCAATTTGGTTAAGGCAATAGATTGGTCTATTAGGCCAGAACCCACAACAAATTACAGACCCCTTGGCCTTTGAGAAGAACCAAACGTGTGCCACTCCCGCCAAAAGGCACAAGCTGAAGCTGGAGTACAAGAGGATACAACTGTGACAGGCTAAGCAACTAGTTTGACGAGGTACAAGAACATTAGAACAATTACACACATATTACATATTTAGTCTATCCCATTAGCAACAAACTACAATAGGGTTTGTATCAAAAGGCCTAAAGCTATGATCCACTGCTTTCCTTATAAGTGCAGAGATCAGTAAGATTTCAGATCTTGAATTGACGAATAAGCGAGCAACAGCGATACTTTGGAAAAGGCCTCTGCATTAATCAATAACAAGAAACTATTATCCATCGTATGCTGAATTGCTGATACCATAAATGACTCAACAAAGGCGGGTTAAGCCGCGTATCGTACATCAAGTGTGAAGTGAATTAAGTCAAGAAATAAACTTCTTATATTTGCTCAACCTTATTTCAGGAGCTGCATTAAGATAGAGTATGTCATTGTCACCTGAAAAAAACGTAGGCATGGATATGATAAAGATATTGTAGCTGCAACACGAGGCTGGAAAGGCAGAAACTCGCATCATGGCAGATTTGGCACTGGCGATCATGATCGATGTCTAGGAATTGGCCTCTGCAATTAACACAACACAACAGCTTACCGTCCCGTGCAATATCAGAGATTGACACCAACAATATTTCCACGCATATACATGGGTGCTCACTGCTCACAGATTTGAATGAAATGATGGGGAAAATAATGAAATTTAAGTCTGGAGTCAGCTTATTACTTTGTGCAATTTGCATGTGTCATTCATGGTGTTATCCTCACACCTAACTAGTGTGTAACATTACGAACTCAGCGTATGTCAAAACACAGATGGAATAGAGTTTAGGATTATCCACATACCTGTTCAACCATAATAGACTGATTTTCTACATCAGGAGAGCCTTCAAGTAAGTAACGGATCACTTTGTAAGGTACGAATGGAGATCCCTTGGAACACAGCAAACTCAAGGACTTCAGTCGCTTAAAAGGAGAAGGTTGATGTTTCACCAAGTCATAAACCTGAGTCAACAGCTGGGGAGTAGAACCAAGCCAAAATGACAAACAAAAAAGCTTCTCAAAATTATCATCTCTGGTATTTAAGCATAAAGATAGGAAAAAAGATAAATGGCTTACAACGTGGATCAATCCTACTATCAATTGCCGTTATATTTAGCAAGATTATGCTAAAATCTTATTCTATTAGTGATCACAGACAGCATACCTCAATTGTATCAAGATGCAACCAGAGGGACTCTACATTATGCAAACTAAGGAACAAGTTGACATACTGCTTCAGCGCCAGTTGTTTCTGATCATCGTCACTGAAATCCCCAGCAAATAGATACTTGCAACCCTCCAAGATGACCGTTGCATGATGAAGTGAAGGAAGGTTCAACTTGAAGAGTTGTGGTGGTTGATTATGAATATCAATCCATCCGCTATAACAGAAGGACACGAGCTTTGGAGCAAATACTTCTAAGGTGGAAAAATGTGATGTATGTATCTCCAGAGTAAGCAGTTGCAGCCCAGATATTTTCAACACGCAGATCCCCTTCTCGTCCCTACTAGAATAGCAATCAAATAGTTTCAGGTTTTCCAATTTGGAAAAAGCAGCGAAAGGGTCATGCGGCGCTTCCACACCAGAAAGGTCAAAGAAACTGATGCTTATAGTCAGCGTATCGAGCATTTTCAAACAGGACAACAACCCAAATGCAGTGCTGTCCAACTGTGATTGCCGTAATTCCAAAACTTTCAAGGATTGATAACAAGTAGAGATCAAGTCGAAATCTCCGGGTAGCAAGTCGGCATCAAGGGATAACTGTTGTATACCATGAGAGGCTGCATATTTTATCACCCTATCAAGCATACCCATAGCTGTATCGGAGAATATCCTCTCAGGCATACTCATAGCTGTATCAGACAATATGCCAATCTTGCAAACATTACAGTCGGAGCGGTGGGATAGAACTTGGTCGACATGTCGCACCAAACCCTGTCGTTCCCGCTTCGTCCACAACGAGCGTCCATCGAAATTGAGAACAGGAACTTCTTTCCAGACGCATCTCCACCTCCGGGACAAAATGCTGCTTCCGACGAGAGATTTGCTGTCCAGGAACGAGAGAATGTGATATAAAATTCCGTCTGGCAGGTCACTCAGTCTGTCGATTCCTTTCACACCTCGTCTCCTTCTGTTACCCTTCATGGTTTAAACTCTAAACCCTATCTCCTGATCGAGATCATCTATTTTGCAAACTCGATTCCCACCCCAAAATGGACAGCTAGATTCTGAAGATTCAAGAATGCAGCATTCCGATTTCAAAAATTCAACCGCCGAATCCCATTCTTTGCCACAAAATGAAGAACATTTCGAATCACCTACCAGCGAAATAAGAGTTCTCCCAAAACGCGAGCTAGGTCAAACCAGAAAAGAGTTCGCGAATTCAGAGAGCTGAGTAGCAGTGAGCTATGCGGGAGGTTCCTTCAGAGAGCTGAGTGACGGCGTTCGCAGTTTAACTAGCCGGGAAATTGCGGACCATTGGTGGTTGATCGGCCCTTCGGACCGCAGCTTGAGTTGAGTTCAGTCACCGACCTTCCTTCTCTGGGCTCCAGGCGTCCACCTTGCCACTTGAGTTTTTTTTTTTTTTTTTTTGACAGTAACCTTGCCACTTGAGTTGCTACTTGCTAGCAACAAACTGTCTATATGTGCTTTGCTACTTGCTGGTGGGATTGCATGAAATGGGCCATAATTGGATCTCTTGGAGCTGGGCTTGAAGATTAAGATTAGAAAAAGTAAGGCCCAGCCCTTGAGCGTCTATGCCACCTTGGCTCTCCCAAGTTTTGCGGAATCAGTGATGCTAATTAGCGACTTTTTTTTATTACGATGCTAATTAGTGACTAATTAATCAAACTCTTACGATTAATGGATTGTCTAGGTGACAAAGTGCTGTCAAAGCCGAACCGAGCTGGTCGGTGGGACCGCCAAAGCCACCACCCGGCCGTAAAATCGGCTCGGATCAACTATTTAACCGCCACGGTTTTATACAGCGGCCGGCGAGCGGTCGAAGCGGCTAACCGCTCGAGCTGCTCAAGCCGGTCGCGCGGTTCGGCTGTTTGGTTTACCCTAAAAAAAATTGACAAGGCCAATCGTGAAATGGGGCAGCCAAACAAAACCCTAACTTTCATTTTATTTTCTTCGTTTTCGACCTAGAACAGATTATAGAGGGAGAGCGGCGCCACCCTGCCGCCGTCAACCATCGCCCCAGCTCGCCAAACAAAACCCTAACTCGCCATCGCCCCAGCGCTTCCGTACCGTCGCCATCGCCGCAAGCAGCGCGCCATTGCCAGTCGCCATCGTCGCTTCTGCTCCCCGCTCCCGGCGCTTTTGTCCCCTGCAGTCACCTTCTCCGGTTCTCCCACTGCTGCTGCCTCCCCTGCATCGACTCTCTCCCTCTCCCCTGCTGCCTCTCCCCTGCATCGACTCTCTGCCTCTCCCCTGTTGCATCGACATTCTGCCTCTCCCCTATTGCATCGAGCCATCGACTCTCTACCTCTCCCTTGTTGCCCTCCCCTTCAATTTCTCGATGCATACACCCACCTAGGAGAACTTCTTGTGGTAAATTACTAAATTAATAAATTTACATGTGCTTTGACCTTAATTTGATAATTTCAGATAAGCATAAAAGAAGTTTGTAATGGTTTGTTTGTGTTGCTGCCGTGACCCGTGAGGTTTCCTATTCCATTTAGCAATTTTTGTTTACTTGTTTACTTGATTGAGTTATTTAGAAGTTTCATAATGGTAGTGTTAGATTTTCCATTGTAAATTTGCTGATTTGATTTTTCTTTTGTAGATGAGTACTCCAAATCCAAATAGTGTACTCAATCAACAACACCAAGCTCTACTACTTCAATTGGGCAAGCTGGTCGAGGAAAGAATGATCCTGCTTGAAATTACATCCAAGAAATCAAAGATGATAATGGGAAGGTGCTGGCACTCAAATGCATGCTATGTGGAATTGAGAAAAGGGGAGGGGGGATTCATCGGATGAAAGAGCATCTTGCTCATTCTACAAAAGGGAATATTGTGAAATGCTCAAAAGTTCCCTATGATGTGCATCTGAGATTTGCAAATATTCTTAAAGAATATGATGAAAAGAAGGAAGGGAAGTCGAAATCTAATGATCCTATCATTGGTGACAAAGATGATGATGTGGTTGAGTTAGCGAGATCACAGGCAACTAAAAATGTTAGTGACTTGATGAAGAAAGCTAAGGGACCTGACTTTTTTGCTCCAAGAACCACTCATGGGTCGCAACCAAGCATCAAAAGTGCAATGGCTACTAAGGATGCAATTCATAGAGCGCATATGATTTGTGCAAAATTCTTCTATGAGAATTGCATACCTTTTAATGCAGCTCACTTAGATAGTTGACAGAGGATGTTTGATGCTGCAATGGCTATTGGTCCAGGATTTAAGGTACCATCATATCATGATTTAAGGGTGCCTTTACTAGTTGATAGGAAGAGAGAAACCCAGCTAATTGTTGATCAACACCGAGCCGTTTGGGGACAGCGTGGGTGTACTTTAATGGCTGATGGTTGGACTGATCAACAAGGTAGAAGTTTGGTCAATCTATTGGTCTATTGTAGTAGAGGTCTTTGTTTTCTTAAATCTGTTGATGCAACGGTTGTGAAGAATGCAAAGAACCTTTTCAAGATATTTGATGAAGCAATTCAGTGGATTGGCGTGGACAATGTGGTTCATGTGGTCACTGATAATGCAGCTAACTACAAGTCATATAGTAAGATTATTCATAAGACTTATCCACATATTTATTGGTCTCCATGTGCAACTCATTGCATGAATTTGATATTGAGTGATTTTGGAGATTTGGAGAATGTGAAGGTTGTCATTCAAAAGGCTAGAAGAGTCATTGTGTTTGTTTATAATCATTCTCCTGTGATTAATTGGTTGAAAGCAAGGCCAAATTGGAAGCAAATAGTGAGACCTGGTGCAACTCGCTTTGCTACTAATTTCCTCTCCATGAAGAGTGTGTATGAGCACAAGGTTGATTTACAAGCTTTAGCAGTGAGTGAGTTCTTCAATGCAGATGAATCATCTAAGACTGCAAAAGGAAAGGCGGTGAGTGCTATATTGTTAGATGCTCAGTTTTGGGGTGATTGTTTGGAGATGTCAAATGTGGCTCAACCAGTCATGAAGTTGCTGAAGCTTGTGGATTCATATGAGAAGCCCACTCTTGCTTATGTTTATGAGGGAATGAGAAGAGCAGTTAAGGGAATCAAAGAGATCTTGTTAGGTAAAGAGACTTTGTACAAGCCTTACATTGACATCATCAACAAAAGGTGGGATAAGCATTTCCGGGGGGGATCTAGTCAAAGCAGCTTATTTCTTCAATCCTGCTCTCAAATATGATGAGGAATATGTGGGGGACATTGAGGTGAAGGGGGCTATAATAAACTTGCTTGAAAAGCCCCAACTTTGTAGTGATGGTTTGCAAGCATGTAAGGAATTGAAACTGTTTGAGGAAGCGAAGGGGACTTTTGGTAGGGACTTGGCTGTTAGAGGTAGATCGTCACTTGATGAATAGCAAGAAGAGGAACAGTTTAGAGCATGAAAGACTAAGCAATCTAGTCTTTGTGAACTACAACATGAAGCTAGGAAAGAGGTATGTGATGAATAGCAAATATGTTTGATTTGAGTACAAAATATTTTTGCCATGAAATAGTGACATATTTGACTTGTATTTAATCATCCATAGGTCTCGTACTAGAAAAAGTAAGTTCTTGGTTGATCCATTTGACTATGAATGGATTAATGCCACTGAATTTTGGGTTATGGATGAGGAAGATGATCCAACTCCAGATCTTAGCTTTGATGAGTTGATGCAAGCTATGTGTGATAATAATGCGAATGACGTTCCTGAAGGAAGTGGAACTACAAGTAGGAAAAGAGGTCGCAATGAAGGTTGGATTGACATATTATTAGTAAACGAAGAATGTTCAACTTTGATCTATTTTTAACACATGATTTCTAACATATTTTTGTTTACTTATTAGATGATGATGGACATGATGGTAGCACATCAATTGGGATGGCGTCTTCAAGCAGTGATTCATCTGATGCTAGTGATGGTGTGTTGAAGTTGTATTTGATAGTTGTTTGAGTTTGAGACTTTGAGTGGTTTCCATGTTTAAGACTCTTGTTTAATGTTCAGACTCGTGTAATATTGCTTTTATTTTGGAACAATGTGGTGGTTTGGAATTAAATTTTAGATCTTTCAGTACTGATGTTCTAGAATAGTTTAAGAGAGTAGTTTACTTGTGGTTTACCATGATTAAGAAGTGTCTACTATTTATACAGATGACTGTTTATTAGGTACCGGTTCTCAAACGGTTTTTAAACGGTCTAATGTCGGCTGGACCACTAATGACCGAGCCGTTCACGTTACCGGGTCATACTCCGGCTCGGCTTTGACATCAGACAAACTACAAAGGAGGCCAGAATATCAAATTTTCAGTTAATACTTAATACTTTAGAAAAAGATATTATTTCGTATGTTTTATTTTTCATTTACCACATTTGTGATTTATAATATGTCCATAATTTTCAATTTGCTAACATGTTAATTGTTAAATCATAATTACATATCCATTCCTATTTTTAAGTTTTACTTATATCGAAACCAAATATAAGGTAACTTAATGACAAGTATCCCTAGATTTCTTTTATTGTCAATTTCAATAAGAAGTTTAACGATCTTTGGGAATAAAATAATATTTTTCGTAAAAATATTAGGACTTAATCGACAAAAGATTTCTAATTATCAAGAATAAATTTTATGAACAATGCATTCAGTTTGTACAAGTAACAATTCCCAAAATATATTTCAATTTTCGCACATTAATTTTGAATTATTAAAAATCAAAACCATTTATTGACATTGATTTTGTACTGATTTCAAACTAGATTTCGAAAATAGAAAAACAATCTTGCATGTTACCGATTCCACACAACCAATCCACCATGGTATTTCACTATAACCCATGTATTCATAAATTGGTCACCAATTTTGAATTATTAATTACTCAAAAATTATTACGTATTTCCACATCAAATAAATTTATCAATACATTCCTCGATAAAACTACAACCTCTATATCCATTTTTCGATTTCACGCCAAATTAAAATCACTAACTCAACAAAATTATCACACTTTCTAACTAAAACAAACTGAAAGAAAAAAAAAATGATAATGACCCACGAAAAGTTTATTCATTTCCCGCTATAATCCACTTTCAAAACTAAAGAAAAGGAGAGGCACCAAGGTTCAAAGCTGTAGTCACTCATTTTCCCCCTGTAGTCCACTGCCAAGAATGTAAGACTATCACAAAACAAAAAGTACACAATCAGACTCTACTTCGATGAGTTACAGCAACCAAGTCTAGCATTAACAACATATCCCCTAGTTTACAAGGTACAGGAAACAATTTCTTTCATCCTCTGTTTTCTCAGAACTCAGGAGCAATCGAACTTCCAGTTTGCAAAATGTCCAGGTCGTAAGGATGGCGAGGGATTCATGGCTTCTTCATCTGCGTGAAGAAAATCAATCGAGTTCAATTAGTTCAACATCAAGGAACATTGTCACGGAAGATCACAGTTGTAGTCATTACAAATCACAATCTACTAGTGTCATTATCCCACACATGTAAAAGCAACACTTAATATCGAGTTCAAGTGGAAGAGCATGGTTTCAACTTTCATGTACTCACCTTGACTTCTGTCCATACATTTTTAGGTTTGGGAGGGGAGTCGCCGAAAAAGTAGTCCTTCACGTACTGAGGTATCACGGTTATGTTCTCCTCTACCATAAGACGCAAAGCCAAGGACTTCAATCTTCTAAATGGCGAACGTTGATCTTGCACCAGCTTACAAGCGTCCCACAATGGCTAAACCCAGAGCATAAACCAACACAACATGAACAAAATAAGCTTTTCTTCAACCCAGGTAATGAGTCAAGACTCAAGACCAACGAAATAGGCTTTTCCATAAACAAGTACAGTGACAAATAGACCATAGATCAGCAACTTAGATGTGATAACCAGGGAACTTACCTTGATGGCATCGACGGCCAAGTCGAGAGATTTCGCATGAGACAGGCCATTGAACAAGTTCTTCAGTTTTTCCTCCGCATCATCATCCTCATCCAAACTTTTTAGCACGATATCTGCAGTCTCCAAGGATCTAAGGTTCAAGGAGAGTTCTGTAGCCAGGAGATCGCCCCTATAAGTAAAAAGATTGAGGTTCGCAGCTGATACTTCGATCTCATCGAAACCAGAGAGTCTGTTTAGTTCCAGAGTAAGCAATTGGTCTCCTTTTACTTCCAAACACCAGGGCGTTTCAGTATCTTCACAATTACTCTCATCGCGGCCGAAATCACTCAGCCTCAACTGCTTCAGCGCAGGGAAATAAGCAAAAGGGTTAAGTAGCGTATAATCTGTGAAATCCAAGAAGCAGTTGGACAAAGACAGAGCTGTGAGCGCTTTGAAACCAGAGCAGGAGTTCCCAAACACCAACGCTCCATCAAACTTGAAGTCTTCCAACTCCAGATTTTCCAGCGACGGACCACAATGGGTGATGATGGACTTGAAAACAAGGCCCGGTTCACCAAAATATACCGTATGTTCAGTGAAGCCGCGAACCCACAAATGCTGAAGCTTATATGCAGCGGCGCATTCCAAGAGGTCGTCAAAGATTGCACGATCAGTATATGCAGAGAACTCGAAGCTGATATCAAGACCATCAGAGTCGGATCGGCGTTTCAAAGTTTCGGCCACACGTTTCTTGAAACTATTCTGGCTGCCAACATCGAAGGGTTTGCCATCGATTTCGAGAAACTTGACCATTTTGTTTTCGTTCCACAGAGATCCCCCCACCTGCTCGACAAAATGCTGCAACGAAAACAGACTCAGCGTTGAAACAAACAAGATTCAGTGCACATTCCCAAAATCGCTACCGTATATGAATCGGAAGGATAAACATAAGACTTTCATCATCAGCGATTACGAACTTCTTCAAACAAGCTGAACGACTCAAAATCTTGGAAGGCATTGGAAAAGACGCAGAGTGCGTGATTCAAGAACTGCAACATATACTGCTCTGAAGCATAGAAAGAAAGAGAGAGAGAGAGAGAGAGAGAGCCAGAGAGATGAGTTGCTTACCTCGACGAGAAACTGGCTGCGGAAACGGAAAGAGAGCGGGATTCAGGGACTGATCGCGTGATCTGCTGTCTCGCTGCGCTGAAGGAATCGCCGCCGGCAACTTTGAGGAAGTAGCCGACGAACCGAGAGAGAAGAAGAAAAGGACGTCGCTCCGCTCGTCGGAGCAACCGGAACGGAAGAGGAAGTGAAAGGGAAAGGCGACGGTTAGAAACTGCGCAAAGGCGGTGGGAGGGAAAAAAAAGCTTTTCGTTGCATTTGGTTTTGGAGGCAGGGGGCGATGAGAAGAAGCAGGAAATGGCGAAGTGATGGACGTTTGATTAGATGGGAACGGGATGGTATTGGCGGACGGGGTGGGAGCTTCACATCTTCTCTCTCTTATTTATAACGCTGACGCAACAATTTGAGAAATTTCTTGTTTTTTTACCATGAAAAAATTATTGCTTTTCTGGTGGTTTCAATTAATATCTACAATCAATAAAAAATAAAAAATATCTACCATACAAAATTATAAGAGGCTGGGAGTGACTAAGAATTCGGTTCATATCATATACGAGTTGAATGAGTTGATTTGAGTACTGTTTGGTTTAATATTGATATATAAAGTATTTTAAGACTAAAAGAAATTAAAGCGCTTCAGATCCATGGTCCATGAAACCGTACCGGAGACCGTACCGGAAAAGTCAGCTGTAGGGTATTTTATGGTAAAATCGTGGTTTTATCGTAGTTCAACCGTTATACCGTTAACTACCGCCTACCGGTTTAGCCTCCGATACTGGTATTTCGTGGTTGAACCGCCGGTACGGTACGGTTTCATGGACCATGTTCAGATCATATCAAACAATTTTTTTAACTTGATTATGATCGTCATCATTTTCCCTATACCTTTTAGGTGTTATCTTATTTTATTCGACTCAATTTTGTAACAGATTGGACCATGCATTTCTCACGTTTAATTGAGCTCTGTAAAAGTTCAACGTTATGCGTGTTTATATTGAAATCTTTTATTGGGTGGTTTAAATAAGGGATCCATTAATTGAAACATATCATTTCTTTCTTTTGAATTTGGCGTGAAAAGATCAACTTTATGGTGGGGACATAGGCAAAACAACATGGTTTAACTAACTTAACGAATCCAAAAACCTATTAATAACACGAGCATTTCTTTTTCAATTGTAGCCTTCTGGCATAAAGAACTTTTCAGTTTGTGACATAGGCAAATCAATTTGCATAACTCTACTAGCTTAATGGTGACATGTAAGAGATTCTGTTTTAGTGAAGTTCAATTTGAAACAAGCAAAACTGATTAACTAACCAGTTTATTGAATCAAGGGCTAGTTGATAACACACGAGAGTTTCCTTTTCTGCTATAAATTTGTGTGGGATTTGACGCGTAAAGACTTGTCAGATGGTAATGTATTACTAAGACCTTTGTTCATATCTTAACTAACATTTCCCTTCTCGTGAATCATATAATTAGTGAAGCATAATTTGGACTTGAAAGTAATACTATTCATTTCTATAAATTGTAGTGCAGTATTACTATGAGACCGAGACAAAGGAAAAGTTTTGTTCAATGAAAGAGGTCAAAAAACACCTTTGAGTAGTTGACTATCATAAGTCTTTCAATAAACAGGTAGTCAGCGAGTGGGGTCCAGGGGCAATGCCTCGGTGGGGGTGCGAGGCCAACGCCCCCGACCCGTGGTGTATGGGCTCAATGTTATATATTTGGGCTGGGGTTCTGTGTCTAGTCTGTAACTACTTTTCCTTTACCAGATTGGATTAGGGTTAGACCTAAGAGAAGTACTATAAATACTTCCCATACTCCTCTATAATCTGTATCTCCTTGAAGTATAATGAAACTGGCTCTCTCCTGCTCCCGGACTAGCTAACACACATTGTGTTAGTGAACCACGTAAATCGTGTGTCGTGTAGGCTTTCGTTTCTTGCATTGTCGAATCCTCCCTATTTTCCGATCCGCAGAGCAACAGTCTTTGACAAGGGGCAAAACAATGTCACGTTGATTCCGAGATGCGATATCAATGTCATCTACTTGAAACTCATATGGTTAACATGCGATAAAGGGTGTGGCCGTGGGAGAAGTAAGTACAATAATGGTCATAACAAGGGCGATGAATAATACTTTCGCCTCCTATCTATCATCTTCATTGTCTTCATGCCAACAATTGAGTTTTTTTTTGCAAAACACAATAACAATAACGAGGAGCACATGAAATTATCAGACAATTGTTAAGTGCAAACTTTATAGCGATCAAAGCACATGAATCATTAATGAAATAGGCTCTTGAGATTAATGTTTAGATTATATGTGCATATTTTTCTATCAAAGTGACACATTTAGTGCAATGAGTTTATAATTATATTGTGTGTACAAGTTAAACTTTTTTGCATTGAATTTACTATATGAGGAATTTACTTTAAGTACATAACATATTTTTTGTACAAATTTATATACATTTAGTGCATTCTTTTAGCTTCAATATATAATTTTGTACATTGGTTTTGCATACCATAATCCTTTTTCTTTAGAAAAAAAGCAAACTCAAGGACCTAATTCTTGTAAAGGGTTATGGTCCATGCCTCACCATGTAACATGGAATCTGCATGCTCGAATGAAGCAATATCCGAGGACACTTCTATTATGTCAACAATCTCCTACCCGCTAGTACACACATTGTCTTTTTGAGCAGAATCTGCTATCTTATTGAAACTTTATAAGACATGAATCTCAAAAGTATGTAGTCGACTCTAATAACTTTCAAATATCTGGGCTTAGTAATGATGGTGGCAGGGTGATTATGGGTTTTGTGTTGCTGAGTTGTAGTTGTGGCTTGCATGACATTGTAGTTCTATTTTGAGTGTTTGTGATTTGGTAGTGTTGGTGTTACAATAGTTTTAGTTGTGTTTGTTATTTGAAGGCATTGAGCCATTGACAACATTATGTTACTTTTAGTCTTGGACTAGAAGCAATTGTAGTTATAGTGTTGATGTAAGTTTATAATATGGTTTGGTTGTCGGGGAGGATTAGTCCTTTTAGTATTTGTGTTTGAACCTATTCTTTGTTTATTTACAATACGCACATGAATGTCTAGATTAAGTTGCTCTCTACTTTCTCATGTCACCATGTTTCCCCAAGAGAATAATAGTCTTCTTCATCGAGTGAAGAGGAGGTTGAGAATGTTTTTGACAAACAAGAGCTTGTGGATGTTGGGTTGAAGAGGAGACTAAGGATGTTGGTGTGACGTTTCTCCCATGGATGATTTCATTGTTGATTATCTTTTTTGCCATCTTGTTTGCCAGTTCTAATATATACTTGATTCTCTTCTTCACTCTCACGGCCTCATTCCTCTTATATAATGTCTTCCACATGGGAGCTACATCCTTGGCAATGGGGTGGAGGTTTGGGTGTTGTTTGTTGGTGTGTACAACAGAAAGACTCCTGCCAAAAAAAAAAAAAATTGCACATAACTATCAAATTGGGTCATATAAATAAGCGATACTACTACTTTGATATCAGTAGTGGTTAGATGCTAGTTGGTTAATTTATTATCAGTTGTGGACTTGTATTCATCAGATCAACAAACTCACATTACATAACAATCAGAAATTAATGGATTGAGACATTGCCTAAAGGCATATTAATCTTCCAAACCAATTCAAGCTCAATATCCACTAGTTTCGAAAATAGCAAGGTGTGTATAGGTTCTCACCAACGTTGTTGTTGTAGTCACTGTTGTTATAGTTGTTGGCGTTGATGTCATCTTTCGTCCGAGTGTCTGCTCTAGCAATGAAATATATTCTAATAATTATACTATGATGTTCCTATGTGAGAACACACGATATAGTAGGGGGAGGACGAGTATGAAACTATTGTTAGTCTCTAAATTTTTCTTGTTCAATAAAACAATTAGTTTTAAATTTTTGGTAGTATTCGCTCATGACCACATGAGAGTATCAAATTACTAGGGAAGATCAAATGCACCAAGATAATTTTGTAGCTTATATCTCAATCTACATTGAAATATAGTTAGTCATATTTCGTTTATTTTACTCTATTTCATTTAAAACATTTGGTGTTTTATATGATTTCCATATTTCTCAATTTGCTAACAAGTCAAGTTCATAATTACATATTCATTCCCACTTTTATTTTTACTTAAATCTAAACCAAATATAAGGTAATTTAATGATAACCGACCCAAAAAAGATTTTATTGTAAAATTGAATATAGACTATAGTGATATCCGTCAAAATAGCTTCTTTTTTTTTTGCTAGAAAGACTTTAGAACTTAGATGACGAAAGATCTCTAATGTATCAAAGATGATTTTTTGAACTCTACATGTTGGTTTGGTACAAGTAACCATTCTCAAAATACTTTCAAATTTCACACACCAATTTCAAATTCGTACTTCAATCTCAATTGTCATTCGAGTATATCAGTTTGATAATTTACGTTGTCCATGACACAATTTCAAGTTCAACTAGTGAGTATTTGTGAAAAAGGAGAGTTTAGTAGATTGATATCAAATGTACTCTATAACCCTAAATTTACCAATTTTATGGTCCAACTTCATGTTAATACTAAGGATTGTGAAACCGTATTGGAAGTTATACCGAAAAGTTAGTAGTTTGGTATTTTGTACCAAAATCATGATTGAATCGCGGTTCTACCGTTTCGTACCGCTAAAATCGCATACCATTTTCGATCGGTCTATGATATTTTCAGTCCGACAGACTGATAGGGTACGTATCTAAAACATTGGTTAAATCTCCATAGGTATTATTAAATAAAAATCAAAGGTATTTTCAAAATCGAAACCATTTCGTCACATCCAATCATATTACTAATTATGAACTAGAGGTTTAACAAAAAGAAAACAACCTTACACGTTACTAATTTCATTCAACTAATCGATCAATCTGTTCCTCGTCAGAAATCATACGCATTTTTAGTTTCGCGCCAAATTCAAATTTGATTATAAATAAAAACTATTACGCGTCACTTCTTAAGCAAATTAATCAACATTCCACGTGACAACCCACACCTCCATACCTTTTCTGATTTCGCGCCAAATTCAAATCATTCACTCAAGAAAATTCTCATAAAATATAACTCAAAAAAGAAAAAACTCATATGACCCACAAAAGTTCATTCATTTCCCGCCATAATCCACTTCAAAAATAAACAAAAGGGGAG